GCCCAGACTAGAGTGCTGTGGTGTCAGCCTAGCTCACAGCAACCTCAAACTCATAGATAGGCTCAAGCAATCCTCCTGCCTCACCCTCTCAATAGCTGGGACTACAGGCATGCACCACCATGCCTAGCTAATTTTTTCTATTTTTAGTTGCCTGGCAATTTTTTTTTTTCTATTTTTAATAGAGATGGGGTCTCACTCTTGGTCAGACTGGTTTTGAACTCTCCTGACCTCAAGTGATCCTCCTGCCTTGGCCTCCCAGAGTGCTAGGATTACAGACTTGAGCCACGGTGCACGGCCCATGACTTAGTTTTAAGATCCAAAACGAGGAATGAAGAAAAGAGAAAGATCAGGGATGGTAGAGAATGATGTCAAACAACTAATAGGCCAAATATTTGATTAATCCTTACTTTGGACCTCTGTTTTGGTTGAACTCTTTTGATTATAAGTGTTTGGGGCAAACATATCATGTGCTCTTACTTTGCAATTCGATATATTATAGTTTGCTGGGCAAAGCTCTCTTCTGCTGAGAGATTTAACTAATATGAAGGATGGTTGAGAATTTATTCTTTTCTTTTCCCATTATCAACAAGGTTTAACTGGGTAGCTTGGGTTCTTGTAAACAAAATATGATTATTTACCTGCCTATGCTGTACAGATAAGTATTTTGCTCAAATTATTTAGGTAATATCACTATTTAGTTTTAAAGGCACACTTGTTTTATAGTTGCTAAATATTAATGCTGCCCCTTGCAAGCCTTTTGAGAATCTTTTCCCTTGAATATGCCAGATATTTAATGTCAGTAAGATAAAGAACCTCAGAGATTATTTTTATTAAAAGTTTACTGTAAAATTTTTGTTTTGAGTCTGATTTTATATGTGTTGGTATTTGCTGTTGTTGTTGAATTGTATTTTAGTGAAAATTAGATTTAACATCATTTGGCACTTCACAGTTTTTCTTGATTCAGGACTCCATTATAGAGAAGTTTGGTCTTAGGAACAAAACTTTATAAAATTTGAGTCATCAAATAGCCAACCAAGCAAAGAAATGAAATTAACTACATTTTGATTATTTTAAGTCAATGTTTCTCTGACCCCTTTAGTCTAAATTCTCTGGATTGCCTGTACCAGATACACATTCCTGGTGATGTAGAAATCTGCATTTTGTTAGGAGCTACTTCTTACTCTCTAAAATTGAAGAAGCGCTGCTCTAAGTATACTTTAATGTTCAGAGAAAGGAATTAAATTATATCTTTGTTTGAAATGTAGTTGTATTTTTTGACAACTCATGTTTTTTGATGCAACAAAGATAATAAGATATATAGTTTTAAATTTTCTTCGAAAAAAACCACTACTTGTTACAAAATATTTTTCTCTCAGAAAAGTAATACAGAGGAATAGATGTCATTTTAAAAAGAGAGAGGAGATCACCATTGTTAAATTTTGGAATATTTTTTGTGTCTTATACATAGCTGCAGTATAATATTCATTTTAATGTATTTTCTTCACCTAATGCTGTGGCAAGCATTTCCCCATGTCAAACAGATTTTTAAAAGCTACTTTTCAATGGCTGAATAATACCGTTTTTATGGGTATATCATAATACACTTAGCCTGTCTCCCATTGTTGGACCTGGAAGGTCTTCCTGGCAGACACTTTTTTATTATTAAAAATAGTATTGTGGCTGGGCGTGGTGGCTCACTCCTGTAATCTTAGCACTTTGGGCACTTAGGCAGGAGGATCACTTAAGGCCAGGAGTTTCGAGACCAGCTAGGCAACGCAGTAAGTCTCTTAAAGAAAATTAACTGGACATGATGGCACATACCTGTAATCCCAGTGACTCGTGGGAGAATCACTTGAGCCCAGGAGTTTGAGGTTGCTGTGAGCTAGGCTGACGCCATGGCACTCTAATCCGGGCAACAGAGTGAGACTCCTGGAGTGCAGTAGCATCATGATAGCTCATTGCAATTTCAAACTCCTGGACTCAAGCTATCCTGCCTCAGCCTCCCGAGTAGCCAAGACTACAGTCATGTGCCACCACTTTCGCTGTTTTTTTCTATTTTTTGTAGAGACGGAGTCTCGCTTTTTGCTCAGGCTTGTCTCAAACTCCTGGCCTCAAGCGATCCTCCTGCCTTGGCCTAGATACATTACTTTTAACAAACACAGATGATATAAAACTGAAAAGAATCCTTGAGTCTGATTTGGTAAGAAACTGTAATATATTTTCTAATGTCATTTCCTTGTCCCACCAAGAAGTACTTGCATATAAAAAGCAAGTTTGATTACAGCATTTTTTGAATATTTAAGGTGGTTAAAGTGGCTGAGTTTAACAGATATTTCCTCTTAATTCCTTGTAGGTGAATCTGGATTGGGAAAGTCGACATTAATCAACTCATTATTCCTCACAGATTTGTATTCTCCAGAGTATCCAGGTCCTTCCCATAGAATTAAAAAGACTGTACAGGTATGTATATTACTATTGTTAGTTGAAAATAAGCTGGAATAATATTAATACACACAAAACACATGTGACTCTTACTATGCTCACCTAGAGGTAGGATGCAGATTTGGCGTTAGTTAGTGTAAAGTGGTAAATATGACTTCATAAAATTAAAAAAACCTGTAAGAAGAAGTACACTTGATCAGAGGAATTATCTTGATTAGAGCCTTCCAAATTTGTCCTGAGGACCATGCTAGAGATAACACTGTGAGATTAGTAAATCAAACAAGGTTGTCCTGTTCAGTGTGGTAGCCACTTGCCACATGTCGCAATTCAAGTTTAAATCAATTAAAGGTAAATAAAATTAAAAATGCAATTTCTCAGTTGTCCCAGACACATTTCAAGTGCTCAGTAGCTACACGTGGCAGGTGGCTACCATTTTGAGCAGCACATATCTAAAACATTTCCATCATTGCAGAAAGTTGTACTGGACAGTGTAGAGCAAACATGATTCATAGAAAAGCTATTGTTATTTAAATACAGTGTTCTATAGTAGTCAATGGGATAATATCATAGTTGAATGGCAATAGCAATTCTGTAAGACTCCCAGGCTAGGTATAGTCTAATTTAGTGCGTCTTACTCTTTAATTGTATTCAGATTACCTGGGGATCTTGTTAAATTTCTTATTTTAGTAGGTCTGAGATTGGCTGAGCTTCTGCATTTCTAACAAGTTCCCAGGTTATACTGATACTGCTACCTGGTGAATCTCAGTTTATATAACAAGGAGCTAGACTCTGGACTCTAGATATGCACTTTTTAATTCAGCTGCCTTTAGCCACATGTGGCTGTTGAGCTTTTGAAATGTTGGTGGTCCAAATTGAGATGTTCTGCAAGTACAAAATACACCCCAGATTTTGAAGACTTCTGTAATATGTAAAAAAAGAATGTAAAGTAGGTCTCATTAATACTTTTTTGTACTGATTTAATATTGCAGTGATATTTTGTATATATTGGTATCAGTAAAATTTATTAATTCTTTCATTACTTTTTAAAGTAGCTACTAAAAATTAAAATTATGTGGCTCACATTATATTTTTGTTTGGCAACATTGCTCTAAACTATTGATTTAAAAAAATTGTTGGTGGACTGATAAAGTAATACATAGCACATGAGCAGAGATGAGGGAAGGAAACAGTTCAGCTGGAGCAGGCTTCATCGAAGCAGTGAGACTTAGAGCTAGATTTGAAGGAGTAGAAGTGACTGTCCCAGCGCACAGGATGGAAATACAGTCTTTATATTCTGGGCAGAAACTCA